AATCAGTCTTCCTGCCTCCGCCTCCACAGTGCTGGGACAGCAGGCCTGAACCACCAGCCCTGATGGACAAAGAGTCTAAGAGGACTGCTACTTTTCTCTTTTTCCACAAGTATTTCCTGACCATTGACTTTTAGCCTTGCTAGGCAATTTGTTACAATGGTGAGCAAAAGCAAAATGTTTAGACTCTTGTGAAGTTCATAGTCATGAAATCAGGGAAGAACAAACGCATGATAAATGACATCAAGGGCAGGGAGGTAAGTAAGAGCCAGTTAAGGGGTTTAACCTAATTGAAAGCTAAGACTATCTTCCACAGGAAGGTAAAAACTGAAAGGTAAATGACAAGGACTGAGGGCAAATGAGAGAGGTTTCCAGAAGTAGAAAGCAGTGTGTACGGACGTGGTAGCAGGAGGAAGCACAGCAAGAATGGAGGGCGCTGTGACTGGTATTTTTGAGGAAGAAACAGCATGAAGGGCCAGAGAGATGCTCAGCATGTAACAGTGCCTTCTGCTCTTGCAGAAAAGGACCTGAGTTCAGTTCCCAGCATCTGCACTGCACCGCTCATAACCACCCAAAACTCCAGCTCCAGGGTGTCTAACTCCCTCTTCTAACCTCAGAGAGTGCATGTATACACATGATACAAACACACATATAAATAACAATACATCTTTAAAAAGTAGCTAAGACTGTCCAAAATCTGAAGAAAAATGAAAAACTCTTAAAAGGCTATATAGAACATGCTTTTCCCATGCAAGGCCCTGGATTCAATCACCAGAACCATCAAAACAAAACAAAATACTCCCTTCAGTGCTTATCTGGGAGGCAGGCAGGCTCAGGGGAAAATGCAATCAGACTTACAATTTGACTTCGGCTTCTCAAATATAGATGGATCCAAGAGGAAAATAAATGTTAAAAGAAATTTTAAATAAACTCTTATTAGGATACGACAGTAGTTTGGACAAGGTGGGTTTGATCACAGTGATGGTGACAGATTGAAGCTGATAAATTCAAGAGATACTAAAGAAAACCAATGATACCTTTTATACAAGGGATAAGAGCAACAAAGTGTCCAGGATTCTGATTGGCATGACTACAGAAAGACATACTCAGGAGGCAGTAGTCCTCAAGTAGCTATAAAGCAGTTGAAACATTTCAAAAAGATGAACACTCCCCACCCCACCCCACCCCACTCCACCCCACCCCCTCCCACCCACCCCTGAATATATGCTAATCCAATGTAATCTAGTTCCTTACAGAACAGGGTTTCATGACAGGGTATAGCTCATCACAAGGCTCTGGGTTATATTACCCTTTCCACAAAAAAAGTTAAGAAAACAAATAGAAATAAAAAATAAGAACCAACTAACCCCAACAACTTTCTTTTCTTTTTTAAATCCCTTTTTATTTTTTAGAACATGGTCTTACTATGCAACCCTGGCTGGCCTGGAAGTCATTATGAAAAACAAGCTGGCCTCAAACTCAAGGAGAGTCTCTGCCTATGCCTCCCCAATGCTGATTTTTACCACGACTGGTGCATACTTTTAATCCCATTACTCAAGAGGCAGAGGCAGGAGAAACCAGTTCAAGGTCAATATGGTCTAAAGAGCATGTTCCAGGAGAGGGCTACACAGAGAGACCCTGTCTCCAAAAAAAACCAAAACAGATTTCTTTTTATGCTAATGGAACAAGCCTATAATGCCAACATTCTAGAATATGAGGATGTGGCTAGGCATGATAGTACACATCTTTAATCCCAGTACATGGGAAGCATAAACAGGTGGATGAATCTCTGTGAGATTAAGGCCAGCTTGCTCTACACAGCAAGTTCCACACCAGGCAGGGCTACATAGAGAGACCTTGCCTCAAAATTAATTAATTAATTAGCTAATTAATTTTAAAACTTCATGTTTTATTGAAATAAAATAAAAGACTAGGCCGAGTGTTGGTGGCGAATGCCTTTAATCTTAAACTTAGGAAGCAGAGGCAAGCAGATCCCTGAGTTCAACCTGGTCTACAGAGTGAGTTCCAGGACAGCAGAGAAACCCTGTCTAGAAAAAACAAAAAAAGAAAAATTTGTATTTCAACATTTTGGAATGACTAGAAAATTTGTCATTGGAAATCAGGCACAATTGTTTGTTTTTGTTTTGTTGGGGTTTTCTTCTAGGTCACAGTTACTCAATTTTATTATTTTTTCTCTTGTGAAGTAAAGAACCTCTAGTTATAATACTAATTCTGTGAATTGAATGTTCTTATTCAATCCTTAAGTATCTACTTTTCTTAGTTTTATAGTTTTAATTTTCTTTCTAATGACACTGATGCTTTTTTTTTTTGGAGACAGGGTATCACTATGTAGCCTTGGCTAACCTGGAGCTCACCATGTAGACCAGGCTGGCCTCAAATGCACAGAGATCTGCTTGCCTCTACCTCCTCAGTTCTGGCTTAAATACATGTGCAGCCAGGTCCAGCAGAGTCTCCTAAGGACCAGGCTGGCCTCAAAACACTACCTAAAGGAGAGAAGACGGCTCAGTACATTAGAGTATATACTGCTCTTTCAGAGAACCCAAGCTCAGTTCCCAGCACCTACTACATTAGGCAGCTCACAACTTCCTCCAACTCCATTTCCAGGGGAATCAGCTGTCCTCTTCTGAACTTGGTAGGCAACTGCACTCATATGTACATGTATACATATAAAAAATATAATATTAAAAACCAATCACTAAATATGCTGGGGATGACCTTGAGCATCTGATCTTGCCTCCTCCTGCCAAGTGCTGGGGTTACAGGTCTCTGTGCACACCACCACACCTCACTGAGGCCTTGAAACTTCAAATCTGATGTACCCCAAAGGAAATAAGAAAGAAAACTGTTCCTCTAAAAAAAATCAAATAAAAAAAAAAATCTAGTAGGAAGACAGAAGTTTGTAGGTCACACAGAGTGAGAACTTGTCTTAAAAAGCTGAAAGAAGTTACCTTTGATAAGGCCAACCCACTGCTAGGTCTCATTTCTGCTCTCTTCCACTTTATAAAACCAAACTCTCCTCAGCCCATAGCGACATTTATTTTATTCTATGAATGAACACTTGTCTGATTCTAAAATCAATAATAAAGCCAATTAAAAACTAAAAAGGTAAAAATAGTTGTCTCTGGATTTCTTAGACATAATCAGTATTCAGTTTTAAAAAGGCTTCTATGATCAACAGGATTTTTTTTTTAAATCAAGAATGGAAAGATAATAACAAAAATGGGTATTGGATTTTCAGCTTTTCCTGAGTATACTGTGTAACTAACACAATATATTTAGCCCTCACTACCGTGTACATAAACAGGTGTCAGAGAGATGAAAGACAGGGGCCTACCCTCAATGAGCCTACAATCTTGTAAGTGAAGGAGAATGGTAAATAAAAACTGCTCTGAATGCTAGGGATATGGCCCTGGATTCAATCCTCAGAACTGAAGAGAAGATGGCAGGGTACTACTATAAAGTGGGATCTGTCATATGACAGAAACATACTCATCTTAAGACCAATCAGGGAATGAAAGAAAAACGACGTGTTGAGGAAAAAAAAAAAAAGGCACTCCGGAAGTAAAAAAATAAAAATAAAAATAAATCAACCTATCGCATTAGTACTGAGGCATATTCCCCCCTCTGGGAGAGTGGGCTCCTTGGCCACCGGCTTGCACCAGCGTCTCACTTAGCATTTTGAAAACACCCAGCTGCGTGAGCCGGGCGTGGTGGTGCACAATTTTAATCCCAGCACTTGGGAGGCAGAGGCAGGTGGATCTCTGTGAGTTGGAGGACAGCCTGGTCTACAGAGCAAGTTCCAGGACAGCCAAGGCTACACAGAGAAACCCTTTCTAACCACCCCCACCAAAAAAAAATCAGGTCTTAAATAAAGCCCATTAAACCAATATTAGTTTATCAAAAGAGACAGTCTCCCCTCTACAGACTGCTAGCAAATATGGGCCTTGTGAACAAAGGCTAGAGATCGTGAAATGGGTTTCCAGCATGCCTCACCTTTTCCTCTTTCAATTACTACTTTTTTTTTAAGGGACAACCAGACTATGGGCATATTTGAGCACAGCTACGTTTGGGTATGAGCAGTGCTATGGAGAGAGAAGCAAGAAGCCAGCCTGTGGGGTTCCGATCTCATCTAGCTGACTTTCCTATCTTCCTCAGAAGCAGTCCGGTGTTTCCACGGCTGAAATATGGGGTGGAAAGTTACAAGGGCGCTAGGCTTCTCTCTTACCGAATCCCCTCAAAAGGATAATGCAAACCACTCCTTTCTGGAAACTTAAGGTCATAAGCTTTAAAAGGGGACAATGGAACTCCAATGAGGGCTTCAGAAAGATGGAGACAGTCAGATGGGGTGGGGGCAGGGAAGTGAGGATGAGGGGAAGAGCCTAGCCTGGGAGCGCAGAATACGGAGGTCAAGGCCAGGGAATTGTGGAGCTATAGAAAAGGCAGATCTTTCAGGATCTGTCCAAGTAGGCCCGTCACAGCAGTCTGGGAAGCATGAAGGGGCTCCTTGGAGAAACTAGGGCACCCATTTACCAGCGCTACCTCCCCGCTTCTTGGGAACGGAGATAACCACCTAAGAATCCTCCCCCAAATGGCTTTTCTTGCCCTTGAAAAACAACTGACCCTCAAGGAAAGAAATAAAACCTTTATAAGAGAGAAGGGCCAGGGGCAAGGTGTTCTGCGATCATCCCGTGGGGAGCCTACCCCAGTTCGGGGAACTTTAATATTCACTGGAATAGAGCGGCCGAGTGGGGGTGGGGAGGCGGAAGCCTCGGGGCATAAGAATCTCAGAGCCGGGGGTCCCGCGGCTCCCGGGATGGGCAGGCGGTGGCCTGGGGCGCGGTCTCCGGCCGGAGAGGCCAGCCTGCAGGCCTGAAACGTGAGCAGGAGCGCGGAGGGCCCGGGGCGAGGAGCGCAGCCTGGCGAGCCGAGGCCGGCCTAGGCCTCGGAAGCTCGGACACACCCACCGCAGCGGCCGCGCTTACCTGCTCCTCCTCGGGGGTCAGCTCCGGCGCCATGTCCGGCCGGGGCGCGGTCGCCGGCTCCATCCCGCCGCCGCGGGGACAGGACTGGTCCGCGAGCGCCGGAGCCCGCTGCACTCGAACTCGGCTTCTGCGGCCCGGCGCCTCAGCAGCTCTCGGCCGGCTCATGCATGGTGGTGGGACCGGGGCGGCCCGACGCCCGCGGCGGCTGCCAACGCCGCTCCTGCTGGCTGCGGAGGCTCGGCTGTCGCTCCCCCCGGGAGGAAATGCCTCTTATTTTCTTCACTCCTTTCCTCACACTACCCCTCCTCTCCAGAGGAGGGAAAAAGTGCAGGCGAGGAACTAACAGCAGCTCGGGTTTTTTGGTTTTTTTTTTTTTTTTTTAAAGGAAATAATGAAACCGACAACTTTGGTCAAAGCCCCCCAGCGAAGGCTCCTGGCGTGAATTTCCAGAGGGCCGCCGGCCTCCCGAGCGTCTTCACCACCGTGTGCGAAGCTCGCTGGCCCAGAAAGCGCCGGCGCCTGGAGACCGCCCAGCCCGGGCGTCCTCCGGGATGCGGGCCCTGCGACCTGCGCGGCGGCCTCGCGGCCCAGTTCCTCAAAAGCCGCGGCGGCGAGAGGGAGGGCGGGCGCGAGCGAGCGAGGAAAAGGCGTCCCCCTCCCGGCTCAGGGCCAGCGCTGCGGCCTGCGCCGCGTCCGCCCGAGCCCCCCGCGGCTCCATTGAGAAACTGAGCATCTCATTCACAAACAGGCGCCGGGGAGGGCCGGGCCGAACGGGGACGCTGTCCGAGAGGGGGAGACAGAGAGGAGCTGGGAGGAGGGGAGGCCGGCCGCGCGGAGTGGCGGGGGAGGGGCTGCGGAGGACTGGAGGCGACTCCCCTAGGGGAAGGAGAGGAAGGGCCGGATTGTGAGTTTGAAAGAATCCGAAATTAGGGGATGACGGGCCCCCTTCCCGGCATTCACAGGCGGCTACCACCTATTCGGGAGGAACCCACATCTTTGAGTCTTAAAGGTTGCCTGCGAGATCCAAGAAGTTCAGATGCCAAGGATCTGACAGATAAGCAAGGGCCACGTTTCTTTGCTCAATGTATCCTGTATTCCGGCATCATTGTAGCTAATTTTAATCGCGTACAAGAAAAAGACATCCGATGTCAGAATTCATTCAGGAACCCCACAGCCTTTGCAAGTGCTTTGTTTTACTCTAACCCAGAATAAACCAGGGGAAGAGTCTGCAGAAAAGAAAATGCAGTCGGTTTTGGTGCTCATCTTGGAGGACTTTTTAAAAACAGGATGGAGTCTGGACTCCCTCTTTGCTCAGGCTGGTTTTGATCTATTGGGTTCAAGTGATCTAGGAAACTGGGACTCCCGCACATACCCCTGCATCAACTTTAGGACTTGAAAAGCAATGCCCAACCTCACCTGATTTTAAGAAATTGTGTGTGTGTGTGTGTGTGTGTGTGTGTGTGTGTGTGTGTGTGTGTGAGAGAGAGAGAGAGAGAGAGAGAGAGAGAGAGAGAGAGAGAGAGTTTCTCTATGTACCCCCCAGCTGTCATAGAACGTAGAACGCGACCAGACTGGATTCAAACTTGCAGAGATCCACCTTCCTGTGCACCAGCAAACCTAACCTTAAATATTTAATTGAAAATAATTTTTTTCTTCCAATACAGGCTTAACCTCATTTTTGCACCGGTGCAGTAGGAGCCTGAGCTAAGGTGGGGTTTTGTTTGTTTGTTTGTTTTTTGGTGGGGGCGGGGGTGGTTGAGAAATGGTCTCTCTATAGCCGTGGCTGTATTGTAGTTCTGGCTGACCTGGAACTGGCTATGTAGATCAGGCAGACCTTGAACTCGGAAGAGATCTGCATCTTTTTTTTTTTTTTTATGATTTTTTTTTTTTTTTTTGATTTTTCGAGACAGGGTTTCTCTGTGTAGTTTTGCGCCTTTCCTGGAACTCGCTTTGGAGACCAGGCTGGCCTCGAACTCACAGAGATCTGCCTGGCTCTGCCTCCCGAGTGCTGGGATTAAAGGCGTGCGCCACCACCGCCCGGCTGAGATCTGCATCTTAAGTGATGGGATTAAAAGCATGAGCATCCCTCCTGGCCCCCTCAACTAGGTGTGTCTTTTGCCATCAGTGAGATGGACTCTAGGTTGAACTCAGGAACCCAACCAAGAGCTGGTTTCACTATAGGAAACTAGAAGACAACCTGTGTATCAAGTATATTTACATGCCAGGCTATTGTGGAATATTATTTTAACTGGGCAAAGATGTGTTGCATTTGTTTATGCTGCAGAATATGACTTAGACTGTGTAAAGGTGTGTTACTTTTGTTTATGCTGCATGTGTTTAACGATGTAAGGATATGTGTTTAATTATTGAAAGATATGTTGCATCTGTTTCACCTTGCCTGCCTAAGGTACCTGATTGGTCTAAGAAAGAGCTGAATGACCAATAGCTAGGCACAGAAAGGATAAGCAGGGCTGGCAGGCAGAGAGAACACAGAGGAGAAATCTAGGCTCAGAAAGAACAAAGAGGAATGAAGCATAGAGAAGCAGTGAAAGTAAGACATACAGAGGAGAGGTAGTGAGCCCCGAGCAAAAGGTGGATAAAGAGAAACAGGTTCATTTAAGTTAAAAGAGCTGGCCAGAAAAGAGCTAAGCTAGGCTGAGCATTCAAAACTAATAAGTCTCTTTGTCATGATTTGGGAGCTGGTTGATGGCCTAAAAGAAAAGGCCTGGTACACTAGGCACTGTGTGTATGCAAGACATTATACGATTATGGAAGATGTAACAGGAAGTAAAAAATGAAACACTCAGGGGCTGGAGAGATGGGTCAGCGCTTGAGAAACTGCTGATGCCCGCTGGTAGTGATGTGTGCCTTTAATCCCAGCATTTGGGAGGCAGAGGCAAGCAGATCTCCGTGAGTTCAAGGTAACCCTGATCTACACAGCTAGTTCCTGGACAGCCAAGGCTACACAAAGAAACCCTGTCTCAAAAAAATAAAAAAAGAATAATACTGGGCTGACCTTAGGACCTGGGTTCAAATCTAGTACCTACATGGTAGCTCATAATCTTAGGTTACTCCAGTCCCAAGGGATCCAACACCCTCTTCTGGCCTCTGAGGGAGCATGTGATGAATAGACATATATGCAGGGAAAAAAACAGCCACACACATAAAAAACAAAACCAGGAGGTGGTGGTGCACACCTTTGATCCCAGTGCTTGGGAGGCAGAGGCAGGCAGATCTCTGTAAGTTCGAGGCCAGCCTGGGCTACAAAGTGAGTTCCAGGAAAGGCGCAAAACTACACAGAGAAACCCTGTCTCGAAAAACCAAAAAAAAAAAAAAAAAAAAAGGAAAGAAAAAAATCCCTATTTGTAAGCTCGTTTATCCACAGGAAAGCTTTGGAAGAGGAAGACACAAGGAAGGTAACTGGTTTTCTCTTCAGGGAGACACTGGGAATCTAGGAAGCAGAACTGAAAGGCAGATGCATTGTGCTTACTTTTTTATTAATGTATAATGTACAAAGAGAAAAATCAAAACTGTAAATATACAGCCACATGAGTTTTTATACACTGAATACTCATAAAACCAACAAATCAAGAAATAGAACTTGGGGCCCAGCAGTGGTGGCACATGCCTTTAATCACAGCACCCTGGAAGCAGAGGCAGACAGATCTCTGAGTTTGAGGCTAGCCTGGTCTACAGAGGGAATTCTAGGACAGTCTAGGGCTACACAGAGAAACCCTGTTACAAAAAAAAGAAAGAAAGAATTAGAACTTGGAGCTGGAGAGGATGGTTCAGCAGTTGAGAGCATTTGCTCCTCTTCTAGAGGAGCTGCTTTTGGTTCTCAGCACCCACATCAGGTGGCTCACAACTATCTCTAATTCCAGCTCCAGGGTATCCAACACCTGCCTCTGGCCTCTTCAGGTACCTGAGAACACATATGCAGACATACACATAAATAAAAGCAATAAAAAATAATCTTAAACCAGGCAGTAGCTGTGGTGGTGCACACCTTTAATACCAGCACTAGAGAGGCAGAGGCAGGCAGATATCTCTGAGTTCTAGGCCAGTCTGGTCTACAGAGCTCCAGGACAGTCAGGGCTACACAGAGAAACCCTGTCTCAAAAAACTAAATAAATAAATAAAATCTTTAAAAAAACATACTTTTCCCAAAATGCAGTCCTATTTAGTTCCCTTCCAGTCACTTCTGCTTTAAAGGGCAGCCGCTATCTTGCCTCTAACAGTACAGCTTTACTTGTGTATGTTTAAACAGTCATCTAGGAGGGACAGTCAGGAGGAAGAAAAAGGCAGGTGGACCTCTGTGATTTTGTGTCCAACCAGGTCTACACAACTCAGGCCAGCCAGGGTTACATAGTGAAACCTTGTCTCCAAAAGTAAATACATAAATAAATAAAACAGCCATTTAAACAAATACATGTTTTCTCCCTAATAAGGGAAATGCTCTTGAACTAAGCTGAGTTAGGAGGAGACAAAGGGACAAAGTAGAATAACAAACTACAGGACACAGAGAGACAACCAAGACCACAGACTGAAGGAGGCCGCTGCTCTTGAGTGCCAATGTAACATAAAGAGATGATCCTTTGCTGCTGCCGGAGTGTGTGGCTGGGACTTTAAGCTCACTTTGCGACAGTGAGGAGCCAGGCAAAAAGCAGACTATGGTACTGAGACAAATTAAACACAAAATTTAATGATTTGGTCCTTTGGCCCTCCAGGCCAATGCTCTGCAGGTCTAATTGGGGGTGACATGTTTCATTGGCAAGCCACTATGGGACTCTAATGACAAGCCCAATCAAGGTGGTGCTTTTTTTTTTTTTTTTATGATTCATTATCCTATAGATTCCTCTTTAAACAACCTAAGAATTTATCATCTAAATATTAACAATAATGGTAGCATTTATATCAATATTGAGTCATAATAGTTTCCTGCTTTAACTATTTCTAAAGTTCTTGTTTATTTGTTTGGTTTTTGTTTGTTTGTTTGTTTGTTTTTGAGACAGGGCTTCTCTGTGTAGCCCTGGCTATCCTGGAACTCTGTAGACCAGGCTGGCCCCAAACTCAAGAGGTCTGCCTGCCTCTGCTTCCCGAGTGCTGGGATTGAAGGTGTGCACCACCATGCTGGGTTCTGAAGTTCTTTTTCTTGTTTTGCTTTCTTTTTTAACAGCCTCCCTCTGTAGCCCCGGCTGACCTGGAACTCCCTGTGTGGAATAGGGTGGTACCAACATGCTTGGAGTCATCTTTCTGCCTCTGCCTCCTCGGTGCTGGGATGAAAAGTATCTGCCAACACACCTAGCTTCTTTTGGTTTCGATTTTTTGAGATGGGGTCTCAAACAGCCCAGACTGGCCTTGGACTTACTTTGTAGCCAAAGATGCAAAACTATCTTTAAACTTCTGGTTGCCCAAATACTGGATTACAGGCATGCTCCACCACATCTGGCATTCTAAGGTTCTTCTATCCATAAATATGTCTGTTGTGATGTAAGTCAAACTCAGATGACCTTTTAGTGCCAGAGAGTGCACAGGTCTATAAAACAGTCTGCCTGACATTTAACAGCAGTGCATAAATGAGGCAAGTTGTCAGTGGATGAGTGATCAACCAGTAGCCCTGCTAAGTAATTTTTTTCAGTAACACTGCATAAACCAATGAAGAAAACGGAAATAGGAATGCCCTATTTATTACAAACGACTGGAAACAGAAAGATAGCCTGTCTCCACCGACTACTGATATTAATTTTGCACTTCTTTAGCCCAGTGATCCTAGGGCACCTGCAGCCAGCCACACAATTTCTACTGAGGTGAAACCTGAACCCAGGCTTTATAACTAAATCTACCAATGTGGTAAGGAAAGTAATAAAGGATGCAACGGAACTGAATGAAAAAAGCTTGGGGGTGTTCAGAGGTGCAAATGTGTGTGCAGGCAATGGCAATGCAGTTAAATAAAGGAAGTTTGCTAGAATTGTTACTTATCACAAGCTCAACAGGACAATGGTCGGAAATGAATGAGACACAAAAACCAAGCCCCAAGTGCTTCAGTGGCCATCTTTGCTCTTAGAGAAAAATCTTGGAACCAGAGTACAAATGCCAACATTTAGCTTGGGTTTATTCATTTGTTTTCTTATTTGGGGGGGGGGCGGGGAATTGTCCCAGGGTCTCACTCTGTAGCCCATGCTGGCTGGATTTCAAGGCAATTCTTCTGTCTTAACTACCCAAGTAAGCATAGGCTGCCATGTACAACTAGGATTGCCTTGAACTATAATCTTTTATAGTCTTTTTTTTAATTATCGTTGTCCTTTTGAGATGGGCCTGCTGTAGTTCATTTAGCTGAGGATGACCTTGAACTCCTGATTCTCAAGCTTGACCTCTCCAGTGCTGGGACTGTATGTGTTTATGAGTGTGTTACCACACCTAGGTAACTACAATCTGTTTTTGTTTGGTTGGTTTTAGATTTTTAAATTACATTTATTTATTTAATGTGTGTGTGTCACACATGCCTGTGTATACCATGCACGTGGAAGAACAATTTCAGGAGCCAGTTTGCTTAATGTGACATGTGGGTCCTAGTGATGGAACTCAGGTTGCTAGGTTTGATGGCAGCCACCTATCCTACCGGCTCCAAACTAGCATCTTTTTTGAGAGAGGGTCTCACTATGTAGCTCTAGCTAGTCTAGAATTCTCTATGTAGACCAAGCTGGGCCTTGAGCTCACAGAGATCCACATGCCTATGACTCCAAAGTGTTAGGATCAAAGGTGTGTGTCACCAAACCGGGCACAAACTACAATCTTGAACTAACAAAATGAGGCATGGTACAGCTATCCTGCTCAGACAGATCTTGGAGTACAGAATAGATTAAAGAGCAAAAGACTGGGCGCAACATAATGACCCTCAATGGACTTAGTAATAAATCATACCGTACATACACTGGAATAAGTTGACATTGGTTGTGTCCTTACCATATTTCCCTTAGACACTGTTCTAAGTTATTTTCAGCTGGCTGCGGTAGCATACCATTGGGATCAGCATTCAGAAGGCAGAGGCAGGCAGAATTTTGTGAGTTCAAGGCCAGTCTGGTCTACATAGTGAGTTGTAGGTCAGCCAGGGCTACATAAAGAGGCCCTGTCTCAAAACACCAAAAACTAAAAAATTAAAATAAGTAAATAATTTATTCATTTGACCTCACCATAATACTATAAGAAAGGAAAAATCCTAAATTTAATTTTACAAAAGATATATATGGTTATGTGTATATATACACACAACATAGCGACACACACACACACATATGTAGAAGACCCATATTACCAATATAGGCCCTCGTATCTAAAACATGAGATGGAAATCCATTAAGGAAGATACCCAACACTGACCTTTGGCCTCCAGATGCATGCATATGCATGCACACCTCCACACGCACACAGAGAGTCACCAGTGCCAAACATGTTGGTGCACATCTGTAGATCCAATAAAGATAAACCCAAGTTCGATTCTCATTCCCCCAGCAAAAAGGAGGGTAGGGAAGGAAAGCTAAGTGTATGCCAGTGGGTAGGGTGCTTGCCTAACATGCACAGTGGCCCAGAGTTAGATTTTGATCCCAGCACTGCACGAAACCTTGAAGCAGAGTTGAGGAGTGGAGGCAGGAGTAACAAAAATTTAAGGTTGAGGCTGGTATAGTCTCAATAGCCTTCAATCACAGCAGAGGCAGGCAGATCTCTGCAAGTTCAAGGCCAGTCTGGTCTATATAGTGAGATCCAGGATAGCCAGAGCTACATAGAGAGATCTGTCTCAAAGAAACAACAAAAAAATTGTATCTGCTTTAAAAATTCTAGCATTTTGGGCCGGAAAGATGGCTCAGCAGTTGAGAGCACTGGCTGCTCTTTCTGAGGACCTGGGTTCAATTCCCAGCACCAACATGGCAGCTCACAACTGTCTGCAACTACAGTTCCAGTGAATCTGGCACCTTCACACTGACATACATGTGGGCAAAATACCAATGTACATAAAGATAAATAAAGTTAAGAAAAGTAGCACTTCAATTCATTTAAAATATTTTTATTACATACATACTTTTATTACATATATATATTACATATTTATTGGGGGGGGGGCATGTGTGCCATGGCACATATGTGGAAATCAGAGAACACTTTATGGGAGCTGGTTCTCTGCTACCATGTGAGTTCTGGGGATCGAACTCAGGTCCTCAGACTTTGGCAGCAATTGCCTTAAGCCACTGAGCCATCACATTAGCTCTTGATTCGTTTCTTTATTAATAAAGAAATTTGTAGATAGGAAAATTGTTTCTTTCCGAAATATGTGGGGGTTTATTTATAGTTTTAAAGATGTTCTTATTTTTTTAATTATGTGCATATATGTATGTCTCTTTGGGGATAGTACATGTGAGTATATATGCTCATGGAGTCCAAAAGAGGGCATTGGATCACCTGGAGTTACAGGTGGTTCCCAGTATGAGTGCTAGTCCTATCCTCTGTAAGAGCAGTACACTCTTAGCTTCCAAACCATCTCTTTAGCACCTAACTTTTTAAAACTTTATGTGTGTATGTGTGACTATATGTCTGTATGTCCACCATGTGCATGCAGGTGCCTGTGGAGGTCACAAGATTGTCTGAAATCCCCAGAACTGGAGTTGCAAGAGCTTACGAGCTATCATGTGAGTGCTGGGAGTCAAATCTGGTACTCGTCAGGAACAGCAAGTGGTCTTAACCACTGAGCGCTTTCTCTGCACTACCACCACGCTCAGGCTATCCTGATTCTCTTGTTCTGTGATACAGGGTCTCAGGCAGTCCAGGCTGACTGTCAATTCCTAATGTTCCTGCCTTAACTTCCCAAATACTGGGATAACAGGTATGCATTCTACCGTAGTCTAAGGCTCTCTTTAATCAAATTCACAGGACTAAATAGAGTACTTGTTCTTAAATTCTACAGCATATTCAACCACCCATAAAATCATTTTCTAAATAAATGTAAGAAGTGGTTTTATAATTCCCAAAGAAATATGACCAGGAGACCTCAAAACAGCTCCTCACTTAAAGATATTAGGAAATATTTATTTTAAACATATCAAATTGTACTTGTTAATTGTTAACTTTAATTGAAACATGTTTTGACTTATACATGCATCTGTCTCCAGAGTGGGTAATTTGAGGAAGTAATCCTTCCAGGTTTATTTTGGGGTTTACCTCCTTATTTAATTATTTTTGAGATAGTGTTCAGACTATAGCCCAGGTTGGCCTCAAACTCATGGCAATCCTTCTGTCTCAGCTTCCTAAAAGTGTTGGGCATAAGCCACATACTCAAAGCCTAGGCTTACTACTAAGTCAAGTCTGACCAAATTGCTAGGACATTGACATGCACAGTCCCCAGATTGATAAAGCTGGCTGCTGAAAGAAAACTGAAGAATTCAAAAGACTCTCAAACAGGCTAGGGATGGGGGTGAAGGCATATAATCCCAGAGACTTGGGAGGCTGAGACTTGATTGAAAATTCAAGGCTTTGCCTGGGCAGAAAAGCTAGTTCAAGGTCAGCTTGCAGAAATGTTCCTTAACATAAGGAACACCACTGTATTTATATAGCAAATCTGACCTAAATACAGGAAAGAGCTTAGATAGGCAAATGCCTGAACCTGTAGTCAGTGGGCTCTCTCACCGGGTGAGAGGCAGAGCAGAGTTTCTTCCTGTCTGATCAGAAAGCTGCTTACACCCTGTAAGAGTAGATGCTTCGACGAGCTCCACTGGATGTGCTGACCTGTGTAAGCAGGCTCTGCTTAACCACTACTTCTGAACAGAACCACCAGCTCTGTTCTCAGAACTAATGAACTCAAAGGGAGTTCACTCAAGATCGGACCTAGATCCCTTTGAAAGTTTTTCCACGGGGAGACTTTCTGTTGAAGAGAATGGTGAGGTCAGTTCGTCCAATAAGAGAGGTCCTAACAAAGTGGAAAGCAGAGTGGGCTGCAGATTGAGGCCACAGGACCTGGAATATACTTTCTGAATGGAGTGAAAATTAACTGTTTAATTCTAAATACCATCTTCTACTTTCATAGCTGATGAGGAGCTTTGCTTCTGAAGGAATCTTGCACCAGGGCTTTTCCTTAACTCCCTGACTAGGACAAAATCTAAGCTCCCTCTGTCTTCCAGCCTCCTCTCCCTAACTCTCCGCTTGTATTTTGTACTTGAGCCATGCTGAACCTACTTGATTCGATCAAGTCCCACCCTGCTCTAGGGAATGCTGCTACTAACATCTAACTCTGAGGACCTGCTTTCTTCCTGGTCTGCCTTAGGCCAGCTCCACCCTCCTCTGTGAAATCTGCTCTTCCTTTGCCCCTAAGCTCTAGGTGCCTTTCTGCACTAAAGCAATCATTTCACCATGCTCTACACACTATGGGGTTTATTTCTCACTGGATAACACAACCCTCAAGGTCTTGTCTACCTCTATAACCCACATCTCAGAGGCACAGCTTGAGGTTTATCTCCTGATAGGGGCTCTAACATTTCTTGAAGTAAATGAACCCATTAGCATTTTATCTCTGGGAAGGTCTAAACCGTAGAAAAATCACACTTGTTTTCTCAGAAGAAGGAACATATTCAAATACCAAGAACTGCAGTTCCTGGTAAGACCTTTCAGAAAATGGCATTTCCAACAGCAACTGGAAACTCAGCAGAATGTTCAAGTGCAAAAAGGGGTGAAATGGGCCAAGATTTGAACAGTCATGCCATAAGGGAGTAAGGGGAAGGTGGAAGAGATATCTGAATCTTAATAATCATAAGCAACCTTTTTCTTAAGAATCACATACATTTACATTGTGGACCTGGGATATATGCACACAGCAAAGAGATATTCAAATCTACCTGGATTCCAACTCCACCCAGTAGGGACCCACCCCCCAAAAGTCTGAGCCAACATTCCAGACAGGGGTGTTGAGCTATTTCCAGTGGGGTGGGTTTGGAAAGTGCACTCTGAAATAAGGTCACCTATTGCTGTCACCACTGTCCTCTTCCCCAGTCTTTTGTGGGCTGTCCTTGTTAGTTGTCCATGAGGTTCTCGGGGCTGTGGGGAGGACTCTTCAACTTCGGAGTAGATAGGTGCTCCAGCTCATAGTGCCCATTCTCAGAAGCCTTGTGTGTGAGTTTATCCTTCATGTCCTCCTGGCTCTTCTTGTGCTCAATAATCTGTTGGAGCTGGTGCCCAGCATATTCTGGCTTGGTGGTCAGTGGGCCAGCTGGCACGGCTACACCTAGAATATCTGACACCATGTAAGGGCGCAGCCAGCCCACCAAGGGAGTACTCCCAGGGCTATAGTGGGTCTGTTTATGGTAGAAGAGAAGTCCATCTACCTAAAGGAGGAAAAACCAGGAATCATAATGACTGTGGGCCACATATTTCCAAAACAGCTATACAGAGGCAGTTCTTGTGGGTTGTTTCTTTGGTGGGTGGGACAAGGTCTCTCTATTATGTAGCACATCTATCCTGCTATGTAGACCAGGCTGGCCTTGTACTCACAGAGATCCATCGGCCTCTGCCTTCTAAGTGATGGTATTAAAGGAGTGTGCAACCACGCCTAGCCAATTTTTCTTTTTTTATTCTAAGCCGCTGCCAGTAGAAAAAATTCCTTGCTTCTCATATGAAGTTTCTTAAAGAAAGGGCTGGGGCTAGGGATGGTAGTATACACCTATAACCCCAAGACTCTGCAGGTTGAAGCAGGGAAGCTCTCAAGATTAACCAGACTGAGCTATATTGTGAAACCTTGTCCAAATGAAGAGGAAGAGAGAGATCTAATAATAATAATAATAATAATAATAATAAATACTTCCATTTACAAAATGCTTTCTACCTATTGTTTTACTTTCTTACCCACCCAGAAGGTATTTGAGAGATGGGGTTTTTTAACATAGAAAGTTCTAGGCACCTCTGTAAAGATGCGATATATGAAGCAGGAATTCAACCTGAGTCTATGTCTTCTATCCCTGGATCCTGGGCACTTTCTACCACCACAAAGTCTCAATAGCAAAGCTGAGTTCCTCATATGGGATGAAAAGCAAGAGATCTGGGTAGCCCCAGCAAGGCACCAGACTGAGCACAGGAACAGTCCTAAACCTCCCCCTAGACTGTTTGGAGCCATATTCTGGGAAACTCAGTTTTTCTAAACGGGAAAACCTCCTACAGCCCCATATTTTCTCTTCTGTGATTCAGTGACTCACCCCTTAAAAAGCATTTCTTGCCACTAGGATATAAGAGTTATAAATATAGTGTTCTTACCACCTTCTTAATTGACTCCCAGAAATGAAGCAACTTAGTCTTTGCCATTTCCTTATCCAGGAAGCTGTGATCCTTTACACAATTAAATACATTTCAAGCAAAACTTGACCGGACTAGGCAGAATTTTAAAAGGGACGAGGGGCAAAGAAAACTTGGCTTGTTAAGAGAAGAGAGAGTGGACGGGCGGTGGTGGCGCACGCCTTTAATCCTAGCACTTGGGAGGCAGAGCCAGGCGGATCTCTGGGAGTTCGAGGCCGGCCTGGGCTACCAAATGAGTTCTAGGAAAAGGCACAAAGCTACACAGAGAAACCCTGTCTCGAAAAACCAAAAAAAAAAAAAAAAAGAGAAGAGAGAGTAACTGTAGGTTCTGAAGATGATAAATGACTATCCCAGACTCAGGAGTTCCTGGGCACAGGAGATTTTCAGTGCTAACACATGGCAAGTATGGACAAAGTAAATGAGTTGGCCCTACTAACATGCCACTCACTGGTTAGTAAACATTGTTATCCCAGGAACCATCTGTGCTTGAACAAAAAGGGATCAGAGGTTCAAGCATCTGTTGGGGTCAGTCGACCACATATGCCATGTGTCTTTACTTTACATCCTGCCATGGCAGTCAAACAAGGCACACAATGGTGATCTGGGATGGAGGAATCCTTGGCTCTTCTCTCGGCCTGTTTCCCGGGGTGCGGGGGACTACTGAATTCTGGTGTTCTGACTTTAGTAGAAGTGAAGGTGAGGCTCTGGAGGGCAGCAAATGCGTTATTTCCTTAGAATTAATTTTCAGTCCCGCTTTGATGCTTAGACACAGCAAAATCAGAGGGTCTCTTAAGATTTCATGTCCCCAGTCTCCTTGTAGCCTATAATCATGTCACAGCAACAGACAATGGTTTCATTACCTCAAAAGGAAAATCCATAGACAGCACCTTACACAGGCTCTCAGGGGTACACGGGAAATTCTTTAGCCCCACAAATTTAAACTGAAATATAAATGAGAACAAAGAGTTAGTACATGTTTCAGATGATACTGGCTCTAGTGATTGAAGAGCTTTATTCAATAAGGTTTTCTTCCCAGCACCCAGGAAACGGAGGCAGGAAAATCATGGTAAGTTTGGAGTTCAAGGTCAACCTAAGCTATCAACCCTGTCTTTAAAAAGGTTGGGAGAGGAAATAGAAAGAAATTCAAATGCTTAGACCCCACTTCCAGCACTCTAAGAACAGTCTAGAAGTATATGTTTCACCAAGTCCCAGGTACTACTCAAAGAGATCTAAGCTAGTCTGGTTTACATAGCAAGTCCCAGACCAGCCTGGGCTATACAAGAGAGCCTGTCTCCAAAAATGCTAATAGGTTGTTATATAACAGTTTTCTCAAGATCGAAACATTCTATCCTGCAGGGAAGCTCCTTAAGCAGGTAAACAACATAGCTTCAGGAAGTCTCTGAAGTTGACCAGATTCACTAGGCCATACCACCCTGCCAGAGTAAACAATAAAAGCTGAGCATCTCTCTCAGAACAAAGGTGCAAACACTCTGCAAAGAAGGCTCTGAGACCAGAGCTGCCTGAAAGAAGCAGAAAGCAGCTGAGATGCCTGGAAGGGGTTTAGAAGAGTCACTTGGATAGGACACTCTCCAACCTGTTGAGCTGCCTGCGGGTGCTCAGGTTCCCAGCTTTTGTGAGCTGTCACCATGCTGGGGTGGGCTTCAGTGATGCAGTCGTCGTTGAATCATTTCTGCTCCTGTAAGTGCCCCCTCACCCGTATTCCTATAACTAACCCCAAAAGAACTCATTGGTTTACCATGTTGGACTTTAGGGGAGTATTGTATTTTGTTCTAGTGTGGGTTCTCTATCTGGGGTGACTAAATGTGTGTTGTGTCTCCCCAAGAAAAGTTTTGCCACACAACATAGGTACAGCTCAGTGGTAGAATGCTTGCTGAGAATGCATAAGACCCAGTGCTGTGGGATGTTCTGTATGGCAAATGTGTTGCTAATTAGTCAATAAATAAAACACTGATTGGCCATTGGCTAGGCAGGAAGTATAGGCGGGACAAGGAGGAGAATAAAGCTGGGAAGTGGAAGGCTGAGTCAGAGAGACACTACCAGCCGCCACGATGAGAAACAGCATGTGAAGATGCCGGTAAGCCACGAGCCATGTGGCAAGATTAATGGAAATGGATTAATTTAAGTTGTAAGAACAGTTAGCAAGAAGCCTGCCATGGCCATACAGTTTGTAACCAGTATAAGTCTCTGTGTTTACTTGGTCGGTCTGAGCGGCTGTGGGACTGGCAGGTGAGAGAGATTTATCCTGACTGTGGGACAGGCAGGAAAACTCCAACTACAACCCAGGGTAATTGAACACACACACAAAGCATTTTATACTAAGCATCATTTTATACCCACATCATCACATAAGGATTAAGCTATGAGGAGGTGTGTGTGTGTGTGTGTGTGTGTGTGTGTGTGTATACTTTGGTTCTTACAATAACTCTTGATAGTATCCTTTACTTTTAGAGATGAGATCTCACTCTATAACTACATTGTCCAGGCTAATGTCAAAACTGAGTTCCTCCCCCCTCGGCCTCCTGTGTGTTAGGATTACAAGTATGTACTACCTCTCCTGGCTTATTAGTGCCATTTGCAGATAAAGAAACTAAAGTAAGTGAGGCTATTATCCTAATAATTACCATTATTATTTTTAATGGTGCTAGGGATTAAACCTAGGTCTTTACACATTCTAAACAAGTTCTGTAAACTGAGTCACACCTCCAGCCCTTACACTATTAATTATTAAACTCACAAACAGAATTCAGTCTGAATGTCTATTAAACTCATAGTCTTCCCATTGTACTATTATAATATGCTGCCTTGAAAGATAAACTCATTAATCAAGAGTGGTAGCTCTGGGGCTGGAGGGATGGCTCAGTGGTTAAGAGCACTGGCTGCTTTTCCAGAGGACCTGGCTTTGATTTCTAGCAGCCACATGGTGGTTCCCAACCACTTTGAGGAGATCCGATGCCTTCTTCTGGCCTCTGTGGGGGCCAGGCAATGTAGACATATAGGTAGGCAAACACATATACACATAAAATTACAAAATAATTTTGGGCCATGCATGGTGGCACACACCTTTAGTCCCAGAACTCAGGAGTCAGAGGCAGATGAATCTCTGTGAGTTTGAGACCAGCCTGGTCTATAAGACAGCCAGGACTATGTACAGAAACCTTGTTTAAAAAGAGAGGAGAGGGGGAGAAAGACAGAAGGAAGGATGGGAGGGAAGGAGGGAGGGAGAAAGGAAGGGAGGGAGAGAGAGAGATAAAGAGAGAAAGAAAGAAAAGGGAATTGTGGCTCATGCTTGTAATCCTAGTACTTGGGAAGCTGAGGCAGGAAGATCAGGAGTCTAAGGCGATAGCTACATAACCAATTCAAGGCCAGCTTGGGCCATATGAAACCTTGTCTCAAAACCAAACAATAATAGTAAAAAAGAACTCTGTAATTTTTGTTTTGTTTTTGTTTTTGTTTTTCGAGAAAGGGTTTCTCTGTGTAGCTTTGGAACCTGTCCTGGAACTCACTCTGTAGACCAGGCTGGCCTTGAACTCACAGAGATCTGCCTGGCTCTGCCTCCCAAGTGCTGGGATTAAAGGCGTGCGCCGCCACCACCCGGCATGAACTCTGTAATCTTAACAACAGCCTTACAGGATTAATCTTGGTTTTCTCTCCAAGTCCTTCTTCTTCTGGTAACTTTGAGTGCATCCAGTAGAATCGGAAATCAGTCTGCCACAGAGAAGGTTGAGTAAAAGGATAAAATATTGTTCATCTCAAACTCTTATATGAATGAAACATCTCATTCTAATAGCCATGTGGCTTATAAAGACCTAAGCCCTGTTGTTGCTATCCCCATTTCCATTTATAACCATTCATTTATCAAAATTTTCAAGATTTTAACTGTATGTGGAGTATGTTTCAGACGGCAAGATGGATCAATGGCTAAGAGCGCCTGCCATGCAAACCTGTAACCTGAATTTGATCTTTATAACCCACACTTGGAAGATGAAAACCTTCACCCAAGAGATATCCTTTGACATCCATGTACTTGCCTTCACTCAAACACATCACAGACATACAATAATGATTAACACAATTCTAAAATATATTTCCATTGTTTATATTATACAAAGTATTATATTACATAAAAGCATTTTCATACAAGTATATGTTGTAAAGATTTTTTCTTTTAAAATTTAGGAAAGCTGCCAGTCATAATGGCTCAAACCTGCATAAATCCCAGCATTTAGGAGACAGAGGCAGGTCATCCTTGACTACACAGTGAAATCAGCCTACAATACATAAGGCCTGTCTTGACTCCACTCTCCTTCAATAGTAGGGTGGCTGGGCATGGTGGCTCACACCTGGAATCTGAGCAATCAGAAGTCTGAAGCAGAAGGACCACAACTTGGAGGCTATCCTGGACTATATAGCAAGTTCTTACATTTACTTATTTATTTAGGTTTGGTGGGGGGTTTTGTTTGTTTGTTTGTCTTTGAGACAGGATCTCTCTCTCTCTCTCAATATATATATTTATATATCCAAATGTCTTGGAATTTTCTGTGTAGACCAGGCTAACCTCAAACTAACAGAGATCTGCTTACTTGCCTCTATAAACTCACAGAGACCTGCTTGCCTCCCTGGGTGCTGGAATCAAAGGCATGTGCCACCAGGCCCAGCCGACACCTGTAATCTAACTAATGAATCTTCCCCTCTTTTTGTTTGTTTTTGGTTTTTTTGTTTTATTTTGTTTTTGGGGTTTTTTTTTTGTTTGTTTTTTTGTTTGTATTTTTACTTGTACTGGGATCAAAGGTGTGCACCACCACTGTCCAGCAATCTCTAGCCTCTTACATAGGGTGAGGTAGCTTGCTTCAAACAATAACAACAACACAATCTTCACTCAGATATAGTGGGTCATGACTGTAACCCCAGCATTTGGAAAGCTACAGCAGGATTGCCCACAAGATTTAGGCCAACCTGGGCTACATAGTTCTAAGCCGGCTTCAGCTACAGAATGAGACTCTATCTTTAAACAAACAAACAAACAAACAAACACATACATAAATAGATGGGCCATGGTGTCACACACCTTTAAACCCAGCACTTGGGAGGAAGAGGCAGGTATATGTCTGTGAGTTTGAGGCTAGCCTGGTGCTACAGAGCAAGTTCCAGGACAAACCAGAGTTACACAGAGAAACCCTGTCTGGAAAAACAAACAAATAAATAGATGAATGAATGAATGAATAAATAAATAACTTCACCCACGCTCTAGGAACTATATTATCATTATTGCTATTTTACATGTTATGGATTCTGAGAATCAGAAAGGTGAAGTCACTTGCCTGGTTGAACAAAGAAAGTATTGTCAGACCTAGATTCCTTCATTCCAAAGCACATTAATACTAACTCCCTTGCTTCATTTTAATCTGGCTCTTAAAAAACTCTACAATGCTGAATCTTTTCCTAAGTACTTGATTCTCTGAATTATTAATGTGTATCCTTCTATGAGACACTCCTTGTTCTTTTACTTTGCTTCTGGAAATTTGAAACGATAAAAGTAATTTTCTTTTTCTTCTGTGTTTTTGTTGAGACAGGGTATCATATAGCTCAGGCCGGCCTCAAACTTGATATCTATTGAACTTCCGATCCTCTGTGAAGGCTATAGGCATAGACCAGTATGAGGTACTGGGGACTGAGCCTAGAGTTTTGTGTATAGTAGGTAAGCATTCTACCGACTGAGCTGCATCCTCAGCCCCTTGATTTGTTGTTTTGTTGACACAGGAATGGTCTTGCTAGTAGCTCAGGCTGGGCTTGAAATTCATGACATTCTTCCAGCTTCAGCTTGTACTAAAGGGACCATAGACATGAGCTACCATGCTGAACTTGTCTTTTCCTTATAGTATAATTATATATGTGGAAATATACATGTGGTTTTAATTACCAAATCTGTAAGCTGTAAATATATGTGGTGAGTATCCTTTGACAAAACTAAAGGGAGGGCTGGTCAGTAGCGGCACACGCCTTTAATCCCAACATTTGGGAGGCAGAGGCAGGTGGATCTCTGTGAGTTTGAAGCCAGCCTGGTCTAGAGAGCAAGTTCCAGGATAGCCAGGGCAACACAAAGAAACCTTGTCTCGAAAAACCTAAAGCAAACAAACAAACAAACAACAACAACAACAAAAACTAAAAATAAAAAAACTAAAGGGAAACATGAACCAGGAATGATGATAAAAACCTATAATCCCAACCTCTTGGGGAGATTGAGACAGGAGGAGGATCATAGGTTTGTGGGTATCCTGGGCTACATAATGACTTCTTATCTCAAAAACAAAGTTGGGTGTGGGCTACTTAATGAGCTCCAGGCCACCCAGGGCTAGATATTAAGATTCTATCTCAAACAAACTGAACCACCATTAGCTGGCATTTCCTGAAATCCACCCTAAGGTAATAGGTATAAAGAAACAGTCTAGCAGGCTATCCCAGTGTGGTGGTGCATGCTTTTGATCCTAGCACTCAGGAGGCAGAGGCAAGTACATCTCTGAGTTTCAGGCCAGCCAGGGCTACACAGTGAGACCTTGGAGAGAGAGAGAGAGAAAGAGAGAGAGAGAGAGACAGACAGACAGACAGTCAGTCCAGTCAGTCAATCTGGAGCTAGGCATAGCAATTCATGCCTTGTAATCTCTTCCTAGAGCAAGCTTTGTGATTTGAGGCTCTTTATCATATCAAGGATGACCTGGCATTTTCGGGGTCAGGATGTGGTGGGTGAAGGAGGGAAGGTACAGGAGTTTATTTGATGGTGTTGTCTGCATAAGATGGCACACTTCTTACCCTTCAATCATTCCTACAACAATCCTCTCATTCCCTGGAGCCATGCGAGGGCCGGCCCCAACTGCTAAGAGGCCCACTTGCACCTCTGCTGTTTCTTCTTCCTTAAGAACTGCTGTATTTCCCTTAGTTCCTCACACTTATTTTTAAAACTAAGCTAATTCAAACACCCTCAAAGATGCAGGGAGCATTAGATAATGTTCTTGATTACCACATCCTGTATCTGCCAAGAAGTTGGTCACGTACCAAACCCACATGCTGAACCACCTTCCCGGGAGGAAAGAAGACAGGAAAGACATGAGGAGATTATCAATCCTTACCTGACAGTCATAAAAAGGGTGTCCCCTCCAGCACATCACATCCAAAACATAGTAGGTCTGGTTCACCTCACTGTAAATGCAGTCCAGAATGGTGTAGTCTACAGATACAAGGAAGAAAGTCAACACAGAACTCAACTTCCAGCCAGAGTTCCATCCACCATGATGAAAGGAGCCTCATCTTAAGAGGCTCAAGTCAAACAATCCGTAGGGCTTATGGCAATTGTCAGTGCTAAAGATGATGGATTCATCAAGGAGAGAGTTCTGCATAGCCCTTTCTAGCTACTAGGCATAGCTAAAGGATGTTATGAAGTAAGACAGTATGAGAGATCACACTTTAGCAAGTGGGAATTCTAAACAAGTTGGGACATTTATTTACTTTTAGAGAAGCTCAGTTTTTAGTTTTGCTTTGTTTTTTTAAGACAAGCTAGCCTGGAATTCACTATGGACTCAAAGATGACTTTGAACTCCTGATCTTCTTGCTTCCATCTCCCAAGTGCTAAGATTATAAGCAGGTACCATCAAACCAGTATTTTATTGTTTTAAGACACGACTTGACTTTGTAGCCCAGACTGGCCTCAAACATAGGGTAGTCCTACTGTCCTTGACTTCCTGAATGCTGGGATCATGAGCACCTGCCACCGCCCTAGGCTATTTTTATTGTATGTGTATGTGAAAGGTTTTGCTCTGTTACCCAAGCTTGCATTAGCCTTCTGAGGGACTGGACACAGTCGAATCTGGCTTACCTGTTACATTCTTACTGTAAGTGCTGTGCCGTGTGAGGAATATCAAGTATAACTTGTCACTTGCTTCAAGGAAATAGATATAAGGTGATCATAGAAAGAGTTTATGTATGTCACACAACATCAACTATGAACAACAGGAGTTCTAGGAGAAAACTGAAATAAAGGAAGCAGGCTACAGTGCCCCTTACCTGTATTCTCTGAACTTGGTAGGCTGAATCACGAATCTTTCTTTCTTTCTGGGTTTTTTGTTTGTTTGTGTTTTGTTGTTTTTGTTTTGTTTTGTTTTGTTTTGGTGTGTGTGTGTGTGTGTGTGTGTGTTTGAGACAGAGTTTCTCTGTGTAGCCCTGGCTATCCTGGAACTCACTTTGTAGATCAAGCTGGTCTCCAACTCAGGGATCTGCCTGCCTCTGCCTCCTGACTGCTGGGATTTAAGGTGTGCACCATCACACCTGGTGAGGATCAGGAATTTAAAGTCATCCTTAGTACATGACCAACCTGATCCCTATATGAATCTGTCTGAAAAAAACAAAAACAAAAGCCAACCCAACAGAGAAAGCTAGCCTTACTACAAAACACAGAAGAAATCATCAATTAGCCTAAGCAAGGCAAGACTAGAGCAGGGTCTGGGCCTCAGCCTTGCCAGTTCCTCTCAAAACAACACATTATTTAATCCTTATAACCTAGTCCATTTACTGAGGCCAGGTAGGAAGAAAGCTAAGGTTGGAAAATGACAAAGGAGAAAGGGAATTGGACTGGGAAACCCCAGAAACAGCTCACTGTGTTGTTACACTTGACATTCTGTCAGGAATCTTTACAGAAAAAACTGTGCATGTCATTTTGTAATAAAGGGCATGATGACTTCATTCAGAAATGTTCTATCTGGTGGGCCTCACAGGATGCATGTATCATGCAGCTGAGGAGACCTGACCCTGAGGGAGAATGCTTTCAGAGTGGGTCATTAAAACAACTAACCAAGGGTCTGTTTTACACATGCACACAGTAAAGTTGTGGCGTTGCTCTGATGGAGAGGCCTCAGGAGAATGTTTCTCCCTATCTCCTAAAGCCCAAGTCCTTCCCCTATGGATTTCCAGCGTTAACCAGGGTTCAAGACTAGGAATGGGGATGTGGCCTTGTCCTTGGAGAGTAACAGGGATCAACAAGAACAAACCAGCAGCAGCTGGCCCTGAGACTATCAGAATCAATGACAGCCGGGACATGGTGGCACATGCTTTTAATCCCAGCACTCAGGAGGCAGAGGCAGGCCGATCTCTGTGAGTTCAAGGACAGCCTGGTCTGCAGAGTGAATTCTAGAACAGCCAAGTCTACACAGAGAAACTCTGTCTTGAAAAACTGAAAGAAAAAAAAATAGTTCATATTTTATAGAAAATCACCTAGGTTTTTTACAAATGTAAACTCTGCCTGATTTTGATTCCATACAATAAGAAGGGGAGCTACCTCACCTGCATCTAAGGGCAAAAGCATCGGACAACTTGACACACAGAACATCCATGAAAGCTAAAGAGGCCCTGTCCTGTTAACTTCCAGAAAAGGGTCAAGGTGAAAAGGAAGAAGTTTGTGACTATCCGCAGCCTGGGATACAAAGTAACAGAGGTGCACAGAGATGGACCAACAGAGCCTCCTGTTCTAGATGGACAACCTCGAGATTTCCAGGGCCAACATGCCCTTCCGCTATTTTCTGTCTGCCTAGAACGAGAGGATTGAGGCCCTAGACCAGTACAGTGTAACTGCTTATGGACCAAGCCCTACAGACCATTATCTTCTAGGTGCTGAGCAGAGAGACTAAAAGGTCAAAGACAAGTTTTTGGATCCACTAGAACTGAAAAACAATTAGTTTTTACTCCAATTTCACATTAGATTCTGGAGCACCCAGCCCCATCCAATGTCTCCACAAGACTCAGTGTGTGAAATCAGCCTTGGCTCTCACTTTGCTTGGTCCACCTCTAACCCCATGCCCCCCACCTCTCCAGCTGGCTTGATTGGCTCCTAGGGTCCCACCTTAACACTGGGTGTCCAATTTCCTGATTCATGTATCCACCTACCATCCCCAGGCATTCACTCATTTCATGGCCTGACCTCCATACCCTGGAAATGCACACACCTGCTCCTACAATCCATCTCCAGGCTCCAAGGGTGCATCCAGTAGACCTAGGAATCCACCCAAACATGTTAGACGTCCACCCCCAACTTCCCTGGGTTCACTCAACACTCAAGGCCCCTACACTGAAGCCTCAGAAATATTCCACTCTTCCCACCTTCAAATGAAATGCTAATTACAACTGTCTGGTTTACTTTCTGCATTTTTCTATGGAGAATATTTGCAAAGTTTTGAACTTTGTTCTATCCCAGAACCTGTTGAACAGACTTGATGTTAAAAACAAACAACTGTAAAACATGGAGTCAAGGGATGTAATTCCATTGTTAAAGTACTTGTCTGGAAAGCATAAAGTCATGGGTTCAATACTCAACAATATTCAATGTTCAATAAAGCAATATCATCCTTAGCCACAGAGCAATTTGAAGGCCAGCCTGTGCAACATGAGACTGTCTCATAAACAAAACCATGGTGCTGTTGCAATGGCCCAGAAGTTAAGAGCAGTGACTGCTCTTTCAGAGAATCCTCAATGCCCAGCATTCACATAGCAACTCACAGTAGTTTATAACTTTAGTGCTAGGCGGTCTGACGAACCCCCTTGGCTTTCAGGGCCACTGCATGCAAGTGGTACACAGAAATACATGCAGGCAAAATATCCATACACACAAATAATAAAATATAAAAAAAATTTAAACATAAAAAACAAATCCCCCCCTCCCCCGCAAAATTCTTAGCCAAGCAAGACACCATCTTGTACTAGTAAAAAAAAATTGCAAATGAACCACACATAATGGCACATGCTTATAATTCTACTACTTGGGAAGTAGATCAAAGATAATGGTTTCAAGTCTTGACTACACGGCAAGTTTGAAGATAGCCTGGCTATACAAGACCTTACTTTTTTTTTTTCCTTAAATGACAAAAACTTAGTAAATAACTAGGTATAATGGTACATGCTTATTATCTCAGTTTGCTATCCTAGCAATAGGGAGGCTAAGGTAGGAAAATCAGGAGGTTCGGGTCAGCCTGGGTTACATGGTGCGCTGGACAGTTTTATGTCAACTTGACATAAGCTAAAGTCATCTTTGAGGAGGGAAGCTCAATTAAGAAAATGCTTCCTGCCAGGAGGTGGTGGTGCACTTTAATCCCAGCGCTTGGGGATAGAAGTAAGTGGATTTCTTCAAGGCCAGCCTTGAAGAGGAAGTTCCAGGGCTACACAAGGAAACACTGTCTCAAAAAAACCAAAATAAGAGAGAGAGAGAGAGAGAGAGAGAGAGAGAAAATGCTTCCATAAGATTGGGCTATAGGCAAGCCTTTAGAGTATTTTCTTAGTTATTGATTGGCAAGGAGGGCTCAGCCCACTGTAGGTGGTGCCATCCCTGGGCGGGAGGTCCTAGCTTCTATAAGAAAGCAGGCTGAGCAAGCCAATAAGCAGCTCCCCTCCACGGCCCCTACATCAGCTCCTGTGTCCAAGTTCCTACCCTATTTGAGTTCCTGTCCTGGCTTCCATAAATGATGAACTACAATGCAGAAGCGTAAGGCAAATAAGCCCTTTCTCTCGAACTTGCTTTTAGACGTGGTGTTTCATTTTAACTTAAGGTTTTATTATTATGTATGTTACATGCACAAGGGCATGTGCTATGGCACACGTGTGGCGATCAGAGGACAACTCTTAGAAGTTAACTCTCTAACTTTCACTGTGGGCTCAAATGCAGGTCATGAGGACTTCACAAAAAGCACTTTTACCTACTGAATTGGCTGGCCGGCCCCTGAAGCCTCAGAGATCCTGTGTGATTGAGCCCCAGCACTGAAGGGATAGTGGAGGAGGAAGACCAAAAAACACAGTAAATAGACATCATATGTAGGTACCTTTGGCGGTTGTTGAGTTTCTCCTGTTGCCTCCTGGCAGAAGGGAAGAAAACCTATTGACACAGTAGCCGCTCTTGGTGTAGGCACTGGTTGAACCCTGTAGGGAGAAAGCTACCATTCTCATTAGGCATTCAGAAGTATCCTTGCCTCTTGCTTCTGCATCTTACAGGGTTGTCATTAGCCCAAAGAGATGAGCCAAAGACTCTTGCAGCAGGAAAACACTTCTTGAGGCCAACTCCAGGCACAGCTGTGTGGCAGATGAAAACGGGAGGCAAACATCCCTTTTATCACATACTAGGCTTGCTGGTGTTAGAGGCAAGAAGCAGTTACTCACCCTGGAGGCCACGATAAGGGCTCTTTTCCCAACAGGACACACAACCACAATCCATTCTTGCCCCAAATCTGAAGGGACGTCAATTAACCACTCAGAAAGCATCAACTGGGAATATAAAAATGGTGTTAAAAAATCAGCAGGAGTTTATCATTCAAACATTACAAGAACAAAGCATTAACATCCCACATATATATTACAAATATAGCTAAAAGTTGAGGGCAGAGGTATTTCCATCCCAGCTGCTCTAAGAAAAGAAGCTGGTCTCCAGCATAACCAAAAGATGGCAGGCATTCACTGGTGACTTGGCATCTGCCCTTATTATCACTATCTGTATCCTACTTTCTCCTTTAACTCAAGGCCTAAAGAGGCTTTTTTTCCTTTCCTTATTTGCCGACTGGGTACCAGCATAACTATTATATTCTGGGTTTACACCTCAGGAATGAATACTCACTCTGAGTCATGCTCAGACTTGATCATTATTTCCCAAATTGATATGCCACACATTATGATAAAAGATGTTAGGAGGCAAGCCTGGTGGTATAGGCATATAATCTCAGCTACTTGGGAAGCTCGGATGGGAGGACTGCCAAATTCACAGCTTGTCTGGACAACTTAATGAGATGCTGTTTCAAGTTTTGAAAGCTGGCCTTCACTCACTCTGTTGGTGAAAATGACTCTGAACTTATGATCCTCTGGTTCTACCTCCTGAATGTTAAAAGTGCAGGCCTGAACTGTCAGTAGTGGCTCACACCTTTAATCCCAGCACTTGAGAGGCAGAGGCATGTATCTCTGGTCTATAGAGCTAGCTCCAAGACATTCAGGGCTACAGAGAAACCCAGTCTGGGGGACAAGGGAGAATTCCAGCACATTGCACGCATATAGTACACAGAAACTCATATAGGCATACACATAGTCACATTTAAAAAAAATAATTCAAGCATGATTGTCAATATTTGCTGTAAGAGCTATTGAAAACACTTTGAAAGTCAGGTATGGTGATGCATGCCTTTAATCCCAGTACTGGGGAGGCAGAGGCAGGAGGATCTCTGAGTTTGAGGCAAGCCTGATCTACAGAGTAAGTTCTAGGACAGCCAGAAATATACACAGAGAAACCCTGTTTTGGGTGAGGGGGAAGTGTTTTCACATAAGAATGTTAAATCAGGCTACTGCCTAAGTGTATACCTTAGATATGACCTTATTCTTTTTCTGAATATGTTCTAGGACTCTCATAAACAGGACTATTAGGCATTATTTACAGTGACAATATCCTAACTTCCTGTATCCCTGTGATCTACAGTTCTGTTTACAAAGTGTAATCCTGTTCCATATGCCTTAGGAATTACCCTGTGATCTCATTTAAATTTCCTAGCAACTTTTTTTTTTACTCTATTTAGGTATATGGGTATTTATTTGTATGTATCTTTGTGCTCCACATGCATGTCTGGTGCTCAAGGAGGCCAGAAAAGAGTATCAGATCCTTCAGACTGGAGTTACAAACTGGTGAACCATCATGTGTGTGCTAGAAACTGAATTCGGGTCCTCTGGAAGAGCTAGTGCTCTTAAATGCTGAGCATTCTCTCCAGTTCCTCTTAGCAATTTTTTAAAGACATCAAAACTCATCAAAATCCTACGTATGGTTATCATAAAGGAAATGAAGGGCAACTCTGTTTTGAGCAGTCCACATCTAGATCTTGGTGTGCCACACTCTTTTCTTTAGTTCCTCTCCTTCTGTTAACTCCCACAAGGAAGTCTATGTTAAAAATATCTTTTTTTTTTTTAAGATTTACTTATTTATTATGTATACAGAAGAGGGTGCCAGATCTCATTACAGATGGTTGTGAGCCACCATGTGGTTGCTGGGAATTGAACTCAGGACCTCTGGAAGAGCAGTCGGTGCTCTTAACCTCTGAACCATCTCTCCAGTCCCCTAAAAATATCTTTTATAAGAGTACAGATATGGGGCTGGAGAGATGGCTCAGAGGTTAAGAGCACTGGCTGCTCTTCCAGAGGTCCTGAGTTCAATTCCCAGCAACCACACGGTGGCTCACAACCATCTGTAATGAGATCTGGTGCCCTCTTCTGGCCTGCAGTCGTGCATGCTGTATAATAATAAATAAATATAAAATTAAAAAAGAGTACAGATATGGCTCAGCAGTTAAGAATACTTGTTGCTCTTGCAAAGGACCTAGGTTCAGTTTCCAGCACCCACATAGTAACTCATAGCCATCCCCAACTCCAGTTTCAGGGACTCTGATACCCTCTTTTGACCTCCACAGGCACGAGGCATGCATGTGGTACACATACATTCATGTAGGCAAAATACTCGTGCACACAAAATAATAAAATAGTAAAAAAAATCTGGTAACTAATCCCGGACGGCAATGGTGCACACCTTTAATCCCAGCACTCGGGAGGCAGAGCCAGGCAGATCTCTGTGAGTTCGAAGTCAACCTGGTCTACAGAGCAAGATCCAAGACAGGCACCAAAACTACACAGAGAAACCTTGTCTCGAAAAACCAAAAAAAAAAAAAAAAAATCTGGTAAATTTATAAAAACACACACACACACACACACACACACACACACACACACACACACACACATACACACACTCATGAATATATATATAAAACCCACTCTGGGTTAGCAAGATAACTCGGTGGGTAAAGGCAATTGCCACCAAGCCCAATAACCCGATTAGTAACTGGGAATCACATGGCGGAGGGTTAGAACTGACTCCCATGGGTTTTCCATTGACCTTCACACACATCCCATGGCAGATGAATCCTTACACACCTTACCTAAGGTTTCTATTGCTGTGATAAAACGCTGTGACCAAAAGCGACTTGGGGAGAAAAGGGGTTATTTCACTTGCAATTCCATTAAGTCAGGGCAGGAACCCAAAGCACAGCAGGAACCTGGAGGCAGAAACTGATTCAGAAGCCATGGAGGAATGGTGCTTACTGACTTGCTCTGCATGGTTTGTTCAGCTGCTATCTTTTAGTTATTTTTCTGAGACAGGGTTTCTCTGTGTTACAGCCCTGGCTGTCCTAGACCACCTGCCCAGGAGTCATATCACCCACATCAATCATCAACCATCAATGCAGTACAGACTCACCTACAGGTCAATCCTATGGAAGCATTTTTCTCAATGAGGAATCTTTCTTCCCAAATGACCTAGCTTCTGTCAAGTTGATGTAAAAACTAGCCAGCATAAAAATATGTACACATTCAAATAAATAAATAAAATGTTAAAGAAAATAAAACTAAAATGCTGCTTCATACTGGCTCATCCTGAAAGTCCTTTCTGAGGCAAAGTCAATGATCTGGCTTTATCACAGTGAAGTTCTGAAAAGGCTGTTGTAGGGTTGTAGGGGAGCAGGAGGGAACTACATGTCTAGCTCTCTGTACCACCACTGATGGGGTCCATCTCCAAATCTCAAAAAAAAAAAAAAAAAGAGTGGGGCTGGGGTAGAGACTAGTGGAGAATGCTTGCCCTGTGAATGTGCATGGCGTTGTGTTCAAGTCTCAACACTGCAAAAGAAAGATAGAAAGAAAAGGAAGGAGAAGGGAGAACGGACAAGGGGAAAGGTAGGAAAATAAGGACAGGAAGAGGGCTGCGGGGAGGGGTGTTAAAGTGCTTGCTGTGCAAGTCTGTGGAGAAAGGCCTCTAAAAGTTGTTCTCTCACCTCCACACATGCACACTCATACACACACATAGGTACACACAAAAAACACACATACAATAAGTGAAATATTCTTTAGCAGAAAGAAAATAAATGATAAAGGACAGAACATTTTTCTAAAGAGTATAGATAAATGTTTAGTAAGCAGATTAAAGGCTGCCCTAGGTGGGCAGAATATGAGGAGTGGGGTGACGTGTGCATGCATGCACGCACGCACACACACACACGCGCGCGCACGCACACACACACACACACACACACACACACACACACACACACGACTACTGTAGCATTATTCATAATAGTCAAAAAGTAGAAGCAACTCAAAAAACCATTAATTGAAGAATAAATAAATATGTCCCTTCAACGGAATATAAGTTAACAATAGACAGACTGATAAATACTATAACATAAATGAACCTTGAAAATCTTATACTAACTGAAAGAAGCCAATCACAAAAAGACCACAGTTATTCAGAATAGGCTGGTCTGAAGACATAGATAATAGATTTCCAAAAGGAAAAGGAAGAATAGTAGAGAATGACTGCTAATGACTATGGAATATTTGTGACGGTGTGTGTGTGTGTGTGTGTGTGTGTGTGTGTGTGTGTGTGTGATGATGATGAAGAAAATGTTTTGGAATTAGCTAGAAGTGATAATGCACGCTTGTAATTCTACACTTGGAAGTGGAAGTTTTGAAGGATCTGGAATGCAAGCTCATCCTTGGCTACACAGCAACTTAAAGGCCAGCCTGAGCTACTGTCTTAAATAAAAAGTGACCTACCAGAACAAGATAGTAAGAACTTATTGCTGGGGCTGGAGAGATGGCTTGGTAGTTAAGAATGCTTGTTGCTCTTCCACAGAAAGAGAGTCCAGGTCCCAACAGCTCACAACAACCTGCAACTCCAGCTTCAGATGATCAGACGCCCTCTTTTGGCATCTGTGGTCACTCCCCATATGTATACATACATGCATGCATGCATGTACAAGCACACAGACACACAAATGCAAATAAATAAATAATAAATCTTAAAAAAAAAATATACTACTTCTAAAGACAACACAGTCTTGGTTGTAAGATAATAGGAAAGTCAACCTGGAACTCAACTGAAAGCTTCCTCCCTTTTGGCTTGCTTTACAGAGTGCTGGGAGAGAAGAGACATCAATGGTCTCACCACGCTGTGCAAGAGAAATTCATGGCCCTGCCCAGTACATGGCTCCATGCAAGGAGTCGTCTAGAGTAAACCAAAGTCAATCATACAGGGTGGAATTCCCCCTAGCCTCTGAAAATTTATAAAAGCCCAAATATTCTATTTGTTTTGGGAATTTCTCTTCTAAAGGAACTCACTCTCCTTCAGGTCCCCATCATATTGTCCATGATGGCTAATCTATCTTACTCTGTTACTTTAAGTTAATTGGTTAATGAATTTCCTTTCCAGGTTTGTTTGGATTTTTGTTCATTTAGTTTTTTGTTTTGTTTGAGACAGAGTTTCACTCTGCAAACCTGGCTGGTCTATAACTAGATATGAAAACTAGACTGGCGTCTCTGCTTCCCAAATACTGGGATCAAATGAGTGATCTGTTTCCTTTCCAGATTTTTTTTGTTTGTTTTTTTGTTTTTGTTTTTCGAGACAGGGTTTCTCTGTGTAGCTTTGCGCCTTTCCTGGAACTCGCTTTGGAGACCAGGCTGGCCTCAAACTCACAGAGATCCGCCTGCCTCTGCCTCCCGAGTGCTGGGATTAAAGGCGTGCGCCACCACTGCCGGGCTGCCCTCCACCCTTTCTTATACCTCTCCCACCCCTTCAACTCCTCTGCTCCCTACAAATCCTTTTCCCAAATTTATGTCTTTTTGTTTTGTGACCAGCTACATTTAACCAGGGTCTAGATTTGGAACTATGCATTTGAGCCTGCAGGGTTCACTAGTGGGTATGTACCTGAAAACACTAATTCCCTCCTCCCAGAATCTGTCCACAGCCTCTCTTTCAGCAGGGAGGTGTAGGCCAGTCTTTTATAGGCCCGGTGCAAGGAACTGCAGCTGCTATGAGTTCATGACTGTAAGGTTCTATCATGCCATAAGATGAGGAAGACAGCATGCCATACACAGCCCTTCTCCATAGCTTCTGTTCTTCCATTCTTTCTGTTTTCTCTTCTAAAATGTTCCCTGAGCCTTAGAGGGGAAGGTATAAATGTCTATTTTAGGACTGAACATTCAGCTGTCACTTATTCTCAGCACCTTAAACAGCCAACCACCATTCACTTCAAAAAGAAGCTTCTCTGATTAAGACTGAAAGTAGTTGCCAGGCATGGTGGCACACACCTTTAGTCCCAGCACTCAGGAGGCAGAGGCAAGTGGATCTCTGAGTTCGAAATCAGCCTGGTCTACACACTGAGCTCCAAAACAGCCAAGGATACACAGAAAAACCCTGTTTCAAAAATAAACAAACAAAGAATTTTCAAGGCAAGGGTGTTACATGCCTTTAATCCTGGGGCTTGGGAGACAGGCAGGTGGATCTCTCAGTTTGAGGCCAGCCTAGTCTACAGAGCAAGTTCCAGAATAGCTAGGGCTACACAGAGCAACCTTATCTCTAAAAACAAAAAGATAAAAATAAAAAATAAGAGTACAGGGGTTATTTATGAAAAACAAAAAATAGCCGGGCGGTGGTGGCGCACGCCTTTAATCCCAGCACTCGGGAGGCAGAGCCAGGCGGATCTCTGTGAGTTCGAGGCCAGCCTGGGCTACCAAGTGAGTCCCAGGAAAGGCGCAAAGCTACACAGAGAAACCCTGTCTCGAAAAACCAAAAAAAAAAAAAAAAAAAAGAAAAAGAAAAAGAAAAAATAAAAAATAAAAAATAAGAGTACAGGGGCTATTTATAATCCATGTCTATCACACAGCAAAGCCTGATTACATATAACAAGTTTTTCATTTTTCTTGAACAGAACTAAATTGTATGAGGCAGAAGAATCATGGGCTCAAGGTCAATTTGAGCTACATAGCCAAACCTTGTCGAAAATAAAAATTGAAGTAGACTTCAATGTCACAGAAGGTATTATCTGTACTATATTTGGCGGGGAGAAAGAGATGGATGGGTATTCCCAAGAAGTGTATTCTAAAGGCAAGAGGATCCTACAAAGCAGTATATTATAGCAGGGAAGACCTGGGCTTTGACTCAGACCTACAACCTCTCTTCTTCTAGAACACCAGGACTGCCTCTTTCCCATTTCCCCTGTAGCACCGCCAGCATTGAATTGAGTGTGGCAAAGTGACTGGTTGTTTCATTGCTCAACATTACCTTGGTCAACTGGATGTCCTGCACAGGATCTCTTTATTTAAGGACCGATGTACTTCCTCCTGCCTGCTACCACCCCAGTGTATAATGACAAGACTGTCAAGACTGGCCTCCTACTACTCTAGCTGGGAAAGACTACCAACCGGGGAAGGGAGGAGGACACTGGGATTGTGAGCAGGTCCCATCCAAACGAACTGTGCATGACTATTCAAAAAAAAAAAACATGGAAGGCCAGGAATGATAGAGCATGCCTATAATTACAGCAAAAGAAGGGACTGCTTGCTATAAGTTCAAGGCCAGCCTGGTCTACAGAGTAATTCCAGGCCAGCCAGGGCTACAAAGAAAGACCTTATCTCAAAACAAAATGAAACAAAAAAACCAAAGACAAGGAGGCTGGGGTTCTAGTTCAACAACGACAGAACATTTGCCTAGCATCTACAAAGCCCTGGGTTATATTCCCTGCCCAGAAGAATGAGGATGGTGAAGATGTGGAATCTGTCACTAGAGTAGTAGCTCAGGAGCTTTCTGTATGAGCTGGCAGCCTCTGGTTAACGGCGTGGGCTAGATGGGCTAGTCACTCTAAGTCACTATCCACAGGCTTCATCAGTGGTTTTGGTTTTGATTTTGTTTTGAGACACAGTCTTTCTATATAGCCTGACTATCCTAGAACTCACTATGGAGATCAGGCTGGCCTCGAACTCATAGAAATCCACCTGCCTCTACCTCCCAAGTGCTGGACTAAAGGCATGTACCACCACATCCAGCTTCATCAGTGCTTCCAGTCAGCCAGCAGAACTATAAGCCAGCTCTGTTACCATCATTCTCTCTACAAATACACAGCAATTAGCTTTGCCCATCCTCTTTTTATAGCAGCATTTCATTTATTTTGGTGGGTTTTGACTATATGTGGAGGGTGCAAAACTCTAGACGACTCACTTGATTAGCATAGCGTTTTGGTAACTTCTTGCCAGGGTCAATGTCCATTTCCTCTTCATCTTTCTTATCTTCTTCCCCACTCTCCATCCCTGTCCAGTCATCTTCAGCCAGTCTTCTGGCATGGTTCACATAATCCAACCGCTTGCTGCAGAAAAAGATAAGGTCAGGTCTACACATCTATACAAAGATATCCCACAATGTACAGATGTCATTCAATTCAAGGATGACAAATTTGGAAGCAACTAGGGGATTCTGGTAAGGGTAAAAAATAATGAAATTTCCTTTGCAAGTTAAACTACTGACTGTCTCCTCATAGCTCCTAATCAGGGAACTCACTCTGAACACATTCAGCTTTCCTTGGTTTCTTAAGAATGTTCAAAGTAGGGGCTAGAGAAATGGCTCAGTGGTTGGGAGTGAGACTGCTATTCCAGAGGACCCGGGTTCAATCCCCAGAGCCCACATGGCAGCTCATAGCTGTCTGTAACTCCAAGAGCTGACACCCTCACATAGACATACATGCAGACAGAGCACTAGTGCACATAAAATAAAAATAAATAAATTAGTAAAAAAAAGTTCAAAGCAAAAAATTTATTCTTAAAGGAATTTCCAAGACTCACTAGCTGAATAAGATGAACCCACATTACCCCACTACATTCCATATGAGAAATAACATTTCCTGCCTGGCAGACTCATCAAAAGCCCCAGAGATGGGAAGGATGAAACACATTAAATGCAGTGAGAAGTCCAAAACAAGAGAATCTTCTGGGGCTTTCCACTTCAGACATCATGCTGATCAAACAAACACCCCAAATCTCAGGCTTTTCTTGTTCGACTTTCCAAAGAAGCCGCCTGGCCTAAGACTTGGCATCTTTGCTGGTGTGGTAATACACATCTTTGATAGTTTTTCTACTGCTGGGAAGAGACACCATGACTACAGCAACTCTTATAAAGGAAAACATTTAATTAGGTAGCTTACAGTTTAGAGGTTTAGTCCATTATCATCAGGGCAGGACATGACCCTGTACAGGCTGACATGGTGCTGGAGAGCTAGCTAAGAGTTCTTTATCTTGTGTCGGCAACAGAAAGTAATCTGTCTCACTGAGCATGGCTTGAGCATATATGAGCCCTCAAAGCAAGCCTCCACAGTGACAGACTTCCTCCAACAAGATCATACCTACTCCCACAAGGCCACGCCTCCTAATAGTGCCACTTCCTTGGGGGCCATTTTCTTTCAACCCACTATATCCATGTATGTTGTGCCATATGAATATGTTACTTACTTGAAAATAATAAATTACTGGAGGGGGAAGCAGGAGGAAGGGAGGGAGGGGGACTGTGCTTGGTATGTAAAATGAAGAAAAAAAGAAAAGAAAATAATAAATTACAACTGAAAACAGGGAAGGAACCAGGTGGTGTTGGCACACTCCTTTGATCCCAGCACTCGGGAGGCAGAGGCAGTAGATCCCTGTGAGATTGAGGTCAGCCTGGTCTACAGAGAGAATTCCAGGACAGCCAGGGCTACACAGAGAAACCCTGTCTTGAGAAATCAAAAAAAGAAAACAGGGAAGGAAAAGAGTGAGTGGGTTATAATCAGCAAACAACTCAGAACCAATCAGGAACTGTCTGTGTTATTCATCTGCTAACATAGTACTGTGCAAAATACAGACGCTATGCAAGTGCTACAGCTGTGGTTAGTTTCTTCTAATTCCCGTTCCTTAATTTCTGACTCCAAAGAGGCCAAAGACACACCGAGAACAAAAGGATAGGCCTTGCCTTCAGAGAAGGCAGCCTAAAACACACCTATCCTGCTCCTTTCCTGTTCGTTCATCTTGGCATTTAGAACTGAGTGTACAGAAAACATTTCCACTGATTCTCTGTAGAATTAACTTGAATTTCCAAGGGCACTACAGAAACATTTGGGCTGAAGGCAGATGGGAAGACCATACCAAGACCATCATCCCACTGAGTAAGAAGTCACACATGAGCAATCCAGGGATGTGGGGAGGAGAAGTCTAAACTGCAAAATTCAGTAGTGTTGCCAGGAAAAACAGAATAATTTAACCAAATAACTGAGCTTTTGCTTCAAAAGTTCAGTTTTTCCTTCCTTTTTTATTTTTCTAAAACGTACGGATCAAAGACCTGTGACAGAATTTACCCACCCAACCTTGTGGACAGGAAAGAACCTTCTGTGAAGGGGGTTCTCTGGAGACAAATCTAGTCGTCTGTGATGATTCACAGCTCCCAGCGTAAAGCAGCCAAGGAGTTAAAGCACCCTTACGATTTCTGTAGTTCCAGCAACTGGCGGCGCCGCTCACTTTGCTCCAAGGAACTGTACTTGGACTTGTATTGGGATAGGCGAGGGTGTGGGGCAGCTGTGCTATTCAGTTCTTGAGACACAGAAAAGCTACCAGCTAGGGCTTGACTCAGTTCTTCCATCTTCCCTATAAAGGAAAACATAAAAGGAAATGGTTCATTAATTTAGATCATCTCATGATAATAAGGCAGTTATGATGTAATTTAAAAGAAAAAACTCACTTAACCAAAATTAGTTATTTCTGTGGAGGGAGACAAAAAGATAAATGAGTTATATATTATTAATAATAATAATAATAATAATAATGTTACTTTCTAACAGCACTTCAATAATGGTTAGTTTAATAGCTGAAGGAATAAACCTAAACACCGATCATTAAATAAAGGCACTCTTTGATTGGCTTTTTGCTGTTTTTCATCACAGTGAGCTATCCCTGACATCCAGTGATATGACTGAGCATCTTAACTTTTTTCCTAAATAGTTCAAAAGAGCCATCACTCGATAACAAATATAACTCTGAGGACATGTTTATTTGTTTGTTCTATTTTTTACCATGTAACCCTGGCTGGCTTCAAATTCACATAGACCCCTTCCGCCCACCTCTGCCCCAGATGCTGGGATTAAAGACATAGTCTAAAGAAAAAAAAAAAAAGAAGAAAGAAAGAAAGAAAGCAAAAAGAAAAGAAATTACCTGGGAGTCAGGTATGAGAGCTCACTCCTATAATCCCAATGCTTGGAAAGTTGAAGCAGGCACTCGGACCCAGAGCCATCCTCAGCTATAGAGGAAGTTTAAAGCCAGCCTCTGCTATATGAGATCCTGCTTCAGAAAACAAAAACAAGGCCAGGCATGGTCCACGCCTTTAATCCCAGCATTCGAGAGGCAGAGACAGGCAGATCTTTGAGTTTGAAGTCAGCCTGGTCTACACAGCAAATTCCAGGACAGCCAGGGCTGCACAGAGGAAACCCTGTCTCAAAAAACAAACAAACAGGGCTGGAGAGATAGCTCAGAGGTTAAGAGCACTGGCTGCTCTTGCAGAGGTCCTGAGTTCAATTCCCAGTAACCACATGGTGGCTCACAACCATCTATAATGAGATCTGGTGCCCTCTTCTGGCCTGCAGGTATACATTGCAGGCAGAACATTGTATACATAATCAATAAATAAATATTTTTAAACAAACAAACAAACAAAAAAGAACTAAAAAAATTAACCACCAAATCCAAAAAGACAGACAAACCTCTCCAAATCAATACATGGGTTGATGAAATGGATAGTACTCAAAAGGAGAAACACAAATGGCTAATTAGTATTTTTTCCAGTGTTCAATGGGGGCCCTCAAGGTAAAGGCATTTGCTGCCAAGCCTAAGGACCCGAGGCTGATCCCTAGCATCCACATAGAGAGAGGAGAGAATCAATTCCCAAACGTTGTCCTCTTACCTTCACACACATTGTGGCATGCACGCACACACAATAAATAAATACGTGTAATTTTTTGAAAATGTTCAACATCACCGGGCGGTGGTGGCACACGCCTTTAATCCCAGCACTCGGGAGGCAGAGCCAGAGACGGATCTTTGTGAGTTCCAGGCCAGCCTGGTCTACAGCGTGAGATCCAGGAAAGGCGCAAAGCTACACAGAGAAATCCTGTCTCGAAAAAAAAACAAACAAAAAAATGTTCAACATCGCTCTTTCGGGTCATGACTCCAAGATGACTCATGCCAAAAAGGGCCGCATGCCAAAAAGGGCCGCGGCCATGTGCAGTCGATTTGCTGCACAAACTGCACCCGGTGCGTGCCCAAAGACAAGGCCATTAAGAAGTTCGTCATTCAGAACACTGTAGAGGCCGCTGCTGTCAGGGCCATATCAGAAGCAAGTGTCTTCGATGCTTATGTGCTTCCCAAACTCTATGTCAAGCTGCATTGCTGCGTGAGCTGTGCTCTTCATAGCAAGGTAGTCAGGAATCGATCCGTGAAGCCCGCAAGGTCTGAACATCCCCACCACGATTTAGACGTGCTGGTGCTTCACCATGACCTCCACCAAAGCCCATGTGAAGAGGTGGCTTCAAAAAACACCTTGGAAAAATAAAATGGAACTTACACTTAAAAAAAAAAAAAGTTCAGCCAGGCGGTGGTGGCGCACGCCTTTAAACCCAGCACTCGGGAGGCAGAGCCAGGCGGATCTCTGTGAGTTCGAGGCCAGCCTGGACTACCAAGTGAGTTCCAGGAAAGGCGCAAAGCTACACAGAGAAACCCTGTCTTGAAAAACCAAAAAAAAAAAAAAAAAGTTCAACATCCATAGTCATCAGGGAAATGCAGATTAAAACCATTTGAGGTGCTGGAGATATGGCTCAGCAGTTAAGAGCATTTGCTCTTGCAGAGGACTCAGTGGTGCACATTCATGCATGCAGGCAAATGCTCATACAAATTTAAACAAAAAATTTAACTTAAAAAACGTTACTACTTTATCTCACTATAGTCAGAATGGCTATCATAAAGAAAACAAATGCTGGACAGGATGTGGGGAAATATGAACTTATATTTACTGCTGGTGGAAGTACAGACTAGTTCAGCTATTATGGAAATAGGGATGTTTCTAAAAAAGTTAAAAATAGAACTACAATATGACCCAGCAATACCACTTGTACTGCCTAATTTTATTTCAACTATGATAAAAGCTACAGTAATTTTAGAAAAAAGAACCTCAATTAAGGAAATGTCCCATGGAGCTAGAAAGATGGCTCAGCAGTTAAGAGCACTGGCTATTCTTCCAGAGGACCTGGATTCAATTTCCAGCGCCCACATGGCAGCTCACAACAGCTTGTAACTCCAGTTGCAGGGTTCAATGCATTTTGACTTCCAAAGGCTCCTGCACTCAATTAGTATACAAGCATACTTAGGCACACATACCCCCCCAATATAAATATTTAAAATGTAAATAAATAAAAATGTAAATAAACAAAAATTTAAAAAAGAAAGAAAAAAATGCCCCCCCCCAAAGCCAGGTGTGGTAACACACATGGCTTTAATTCCAGCACTTGGGAGGCAGAAGCAGGTGGATCTCTGCTATGGGATGTCTTTCTGCATGCTGTGAATATGTGTTGCTCTCACTGGTTGATAAATAAAACTGTTTGGCCAATGGTGAGGCAGAATAAGTTTAGGTGGTACTTTGAAAATGGAGATGAAGAAAGGTGGAGTTGGGGCAGATACAATCCAGCCTTCCAAGGAACAAGATGTTAGAGAACCAGTAGCCACAGCCCACATGGTGATGCATAGATTAATAGAAATGGGGTAATTTAAATGTAAGAGCTAGCTAGTAATAAGAGTGAGCCATCAGTCAAACATTTATAGTTAATATAAGCCTCTGAGTGATTATTTGGAAATGGCTGTGGGATGGGGCAGGACAGAGAAAAGCCTCTGGTTGGTTACAGATCTCTGTGAGTTGGAGGCCAGCCTAGTCTACACAGAGAGTTCCAGAACAGCTAGGGCTACATAGAGAGACCATCTCAAAAAAAAAAAAAAAAAAAGGAAAGAAAATTCCCCGACCAGACTGGCCTGTAAACAGCTTGTGGTACATTTTCTTGATTGATGATTGATATGGGAAGACCTAGTTCACTGTGGGCAGTGTCACCCCTGGGTAGGTGGTCCTGGGTGCTATAAGAAAGCAAGCTGAGTAAGCCATGAAGAGCAAGCCAGTAAGGAAACTTCCTCCATGGCCTGGAGGCATCAGTTTCTGCCTCCTGCCCTGCTTGAGTTCTTGCCCTGACCTCCCCAGTGATGGACTATTACCTGGAATTGTAAACTCTTTTCTCCTTAAGTTGCTTTTGGTCATAATTTTTATCATAGAAATAAAAAGCTGGGGGCTGGAGAGATGGCTCAGAGGTTAAGAGCATTCATTGGCTGCTCTTCCAGAGGTCCTGAGTTCAATTCTCAGCAACCACATGGTGGCTCACAAGCATCTATAATGAAATCTGGTGCCCTCTTCTGGCCTGCAGGCATACATGCGGGCAGAACACTGTATACATAATAAATAAGTAAAACTTAAAAAAAGAAAGAAAACGCTAACTAAGACACTATTTCTGGGTATATACTCAAAGATCTCTATGTCCTATCATAGAGAAACATGCACATCCATGTTTATTGCTGCATTAGTCACAAGAGCAAGGAAATGGAACCAGTTTAGATAGTCAACAGAAGAGATAATGAAAATATTGTATACAATAGCCAGGTGTGGAACATCTTTAATCCCATCACTTGGGAAACAGGACAAACCTCTGTGAGTTCCAGTCCAGCCAGGGCTAACATGAGACCCTGCCTCAAAAGGGAAGGAGATGGGAAGGAAAAGAGGGAGAGAGGGAGAGAGGTGGGGGAGATGGGGGGAGAGGAGAGGAGAGGAGAGGAGGGGAGAAGGCATACATGTTCATACATATTCAGCTATAAAGGTTGAAAACTGAAGGAAAATGGATGTAAAGCATAATTTTAAGTGAGGCAATGAAGACTTAGAAAGATAAAAATTGCATGTTTTCTCTCATATGTGGATCCTAACTTTCAATGTTTGTATATAAGTAAATAAAAGGTGGGTATAGGTAACTGAACTAGATAAGAGCTCACAAGAGGGAAGCAAGATGCATTGAAAAAGGTGTTTGGGAGGGGGGCTACAACGATGGCTCAGCAGTTAAGGGCACTGGCTGCATGTGGAGCATGGTAATGCACACCTTTGATCTCAGCACTTGGCAGGCAGAGGCAGGTGGATCTCTATGAGTTCAAGGACAGCCTGGTCTACAAAGTGAGTTTTAAGACAGACAGGCCCTGTCTCAAAAAACAAACAAAGCCTGGCTGCTCTTCTAAAGAACCTGAATTCAGGCCGGGCGGTGGTGGCGCACGCCTTTAATCCCAGCACTCGGGAGGCAGAGCCAGGCGATCTCTGTGAGTTTGAGACCAGCCTGGTCTCCAAAGCGAGTTCCAGGAAAGGCGCAAAGCTACACAGAGAAACCCTGTCTCGAAAAACAAAAACAAAAACAACGAAAAAAAAAGAACCTGAATTCAGTTCCCAGCATCCACATGGCAGCTCACAGCCATCTATACCTCCAGTTCCAAGGATCTAATGCCCTTTTTTGGCCTCTGAAGGCACCAGGCATGTACATACAAGCAAAACACTCATACAAGCCGGGGTGGTGGTGGCGGCAGATACATACAAGCAAAACACTCATGGGGAGGGGGGCTGGCGGCGGCAGCACACGCCTTTAATCCCAGCACTTGGGAGGCAGAGGCAGGCGGATCTCTGTGAGTTCGAGGCCAGCCTGGGCTACCAAGTGAGTTCCAGGAAAGGCGCAAAGCCACACAGAGAAACCCTGTCTCAAAAAGAAAAGCAAAAAAAACAAAAAACTCATACACAGGAAATGGGAAATAAAAATAAGTCTTTTAAAAGAGGAGAGGACAAAAAAAAAGAACATAATGACATGAATGCAGAAAAAAGGCTGGGAGAAAGATAAAATGAGGGTGAGATGGGAGGGAAGAGAAACAATAAAAACAGATTTTGTCTGAGTATGTCACAATGACACCTAATTCATTGTTCATAACAAGTAAATAAATACACAAATGATAAAAAGGTGGTAGCCAGGTGCAGAAGTGCACACCTATAACCACAGCACCCAGGAGGATCACCGCAAGTCTATACATTGAGTTCCAAGCCAGCTAGGAATACATTAAGGAGGCCCTGTTCCAAAACAAAAACAGAACAGTGATGAGTTCAGGCCTATAATCTCATAATCTCAGCTACTCCACAGGGTAAGGGAGGAGGATGACAAGTTAAAGGCCTGGCTGGGCTACAGAATAAGCTCATAACCAGCCTGGGTAACCTGGTAAGACCCTATCTTAGGAAAAAGAAAGGAGAGGAAAGAAAAGAAGAGAAAACCAGGTAGAACCAGGCTGACTAATGCCTAAAATCCCAGCACTAAAAGATGAAGGCAGGAAAAGAGGATCAGTAGTTCAAAGCCAGCCTCAAATACATAGGGAATTCTAGACAAGTAAGGGCCTATTGAGACCCTGCCTCAAAAAACAAACAGGCTGTAGAGATGGTTCAAGGGTTAGGAGCACTTGCCATTCCTGCTGAGAAACCGGGTTCAATTCCTAGCACCAATATAGTGGCTCACAATGATTCTGACGCCCTCTTCTGGCCTCTCCAGGCAAGCACATGGTGCACATACATAATGGTTAGGCACATAAATAATACATAAATCTTTTTAAAAGGGGGGTAGCTGGAATTATAGCTCAATACAGAAGTGTTTCCATTGCATGTGAAATGCTCCTGGTTCAATTCCCAGTCCTTCAATCCAGTCAGTCAATGTAGGCTAAGCAGCTGGCTTTGTAGCTCCGCATCAGTGTTTGGTTTTGATGGGCAGGGAGAGTGGAGTAAGGTTAATAAACATGGATTCACCATTTTAACATTTCAGTATACAGTTCTGAAGTATCTTTACATTGTTACCAACTGTTTCCATCTTGCAAAATTAACTTTCTAGCTGGTTGTGGTAAGTATGCCCATGTTATCCAAAACCTGGAAGGTTGAGACAGCAGTATTTCATCAAGTTCCAATCAGCTTGAGCTACAGAATGAAATTATCTCATTAAAAGGGAGGAGGGGGAGACTGGCTGTAGGGTGGGAGGGTGTTGCAGAGATGGCTCAGCTCTTAGGTTGGAGTTCTGGCTGCTCTTCCAGAGGCCCTGGGTTCCACATGGTGGCTCATGGCCATCTGTAAAGCAGTTCCACAAAACTGGAGCCCTCTTTCCCCCCAGCACTGCACCCATGTGGTGCACAGACATGCAGGCAAAACATCTATACACGTTCTCTTCTTTTTAAATGTGCATACACGACACATTAAAAAAAAGAGGGGAAAAAAAAAGGATGAGACTATACCTCAACTGGCAGAGTATTTACCTAACATGCACCATATCTGCCCAGGCCTTGTGTTTGAAATCCAGGAGAAAAAAGAAGAAAAAAAAAAAGAGAGAAAGAAAGAAAGCTGTATCTCTATATCCTTAAGACATTAAGGGTGCTT